TTTTTTTATCTTTGAAGAAATTGTAGAAAATGAATGGGAAACAAACACCTCTGGAACTAAGACGATGTGATAGGGATTGTAAAGTTGGTGGTTCTGCTGGTTGTGTTGTTTCTAGTAATGTCTGCAATATAGTTACCTTATAGATAGCGAAGCCAATGGTGTTCAGGTCTCGTCCAAACCGTTTGTCTTTACGACCATCTTTCTGCATCAGACCCACTAGGATCGTGCACCCATCCTCTCCATCAAGAGGATCATCATCTTCTTCCTCCAACTTGATCACATACTGAGGGTTTGAGCAGAATGTAGCTGGAGAGGAGGAACCAAACAGTCAAACCGTGGATCAAAAAACAGCTTAAACCACATTTCAAGCACATTGACTTAATTTACCTGGGTTGTTCCTGCAACCCCCTGCAGTGGATCCCACCCTCCAGTTGCCTTCAAACTGGTTGTAGTTCCAGTGGCTCGCATCTTCGCTGGAAAGAGTGTCTGGAGTCAGATTACAGATCTCCAACTTTGAGAACTGCTGTATGAAGTCTGAATAGGCCATCCTGACAGGACAAGGAAGATTCGTCAACATATTTTTTTACGTTGTTGAGGGTCAAAAGCTCAAGCTCTCTTACCAGAACTCTCCATCTTCACCTGAATAAACCAATTTAGCTTTCTCCTCTGGTTGGATGCTGTTCCACTCATTGGAACTGAAAAAGACATTGGAAATATTTGACAGGACTGATGTTGAAGGAGTAAGATCTGTTTAGGGAAACTCACTTGTCACTCCAAGGGCCTGTCCACTCCACCTGACCCCACGGGTTCCTGATACGCACCAGCTGAACCAGACGGCCGTAGGAATGAACCTGTAAGATGACAGCCATTAGGGCATCTTTAAGTTTTTCCTATCAAATCCATATTTCAGTGTCAGTGCCGGTTTCTGACCTCCTCTGCGCCCGTGACAGAGTAGGCATGACCCTTCACCAGCTTCAGACTCGTCACCGCCTCTGACTCATATGAACTGGTAATCTGCTCAATGATTATGCAAAAAATTCAGCTTTGCATCACAGAAATAAATTACATTTTAAAACAT